TTTCTTTTTTTTTTTTTTTTTTTTTTTTTTAGGTCAGTAAATCAATGGCTGAAAGCTTGCTGAACACAGACGCACCTGTAAAGAATTCTGAACGCTCCCTTTGTGAATTAGGCCCCAAACCTCCCACAGCTTGCTATATTTTATTCATATCTATCTGGTCTGTCTTTAATATGAAGACAGTAAAATATCTCTTAACGTGATAGATGTAGAGGCTGGGGGCGGCACGAGCTGATAAAATACCCGTGATCTGTGCAAACAGCAAAGGTGTCGAGAAACATTTCCTTCCATCTCCAGCTGCGTGCTGCGGGGCGTTGCGGGGCCGGGCCGCTCCTTGTGGCAGCGCGGGGCTTTGCGGACTGCCGCCCTGCAGGCGCCTTTGCAGAAAGTTTTCTCTCGACAGAATTCGAAAAAACCCGGAAAGTTTCGGGGAGCTAACCTCTCTTTTCTCTCCTCACGTCCCTCGGGACCGAAAGCTCAAAATAAGCGTTCCCGCGGGTACGGTGCAGAACGAGCAAACAGAAGCCACAGCTAAAATAAGGGACGTTTCACAGCAATTTCCTAAGGAAAAATGAGAGTTCCGTCCTTTCCCTCCTCCTTTTTTTCCCCTCGCGCTCCGACGGCTCACCCCGGGCACAAGCAGCCGCTCTCCGGGGGGCACTGCCGGCCCGGAGCTGCCGGGCGCTCCGCCGTGTGCCGGGCGCCGTCCCGTGGGCTCCCCGTGCGGCCTCCGCCCGCTCCGGCCCCTGCGGGCAGTGCGGATCCGCGGCCGGCCGGGTTAATCGCGGAGCGCAGGGACCGACGGCGCGCTCGCATCGGCCATTCAGCGCCATTCAATTGGCTTAATTGAGGGGAAAAGCCCTACGCGGACGGCTCCTCCCGCAGCACCCGGCCCGGCCGGCTCCCGCCCTTTGTCCGCTCCCGGCCCGGGCCGCTCTCTCCCCCTAGAGGCGTCGCGGGGCCGGGCCGCTCTCGGGGTGCCGTGGCAGAGCCGCCGTTCCGTGCCCCTCGCTCTGCGGCCCTGCCCGCTGCTTCTCCCGGGTGTCGCAGGGCGCCCCAGCGGCGGGGGGGAAACCTCGCGTGCTCCGCACACCACGGCTTCCTTACGGGAGCCGAGTTAAATTTTAATCCTGGCTGTGATGAGGGATCCGGTGACTGAGTGTCCCCTCCTGCCACTGGGGAGAAAGGCTGCTTCCAACCCCGCTGTTTCTCCACAGAGTCCTTCCAGTGCTCCTACCCAGCAACAAACGGGGCCGCAGCCCTGCCCCATCTCCTTAACCCAAGTTCTGTCTCCAGGCAGAGGTCTCTTGCAGAAGGGAAGGGTGCGTGTTCCAGAGCCATGAGAATGGCGAGCTGATGCGTGCTCCTAATGTGCCTCTTGTTTCATCATTCTTTCAGCATCAGGATTCGTTTGCTTTCTTTTTGGGTAACTTGACATGTCAAACAAACTACTAAGAAGAGAAGTTCCTCCCAACGAAATTCGTCTTTCCCATCTTCTTCACGTTCCATAACTTATCTACCTGCTAGCAAAGCACGTGCTTTGCTCTGACTCCCAGCACGCACGATCTGGTGATCGGAGTGTGAAGCAGTGCTCCTGAGTTTTCTTCAAACAGTATGTACTGTAAGGATAACAGTGCATCCCTCTTTGTTCTCACATTGTTGGTTTTAGAGACAGTTGTGCACATAATTCTGTAGAGGATATTTTGATCACCAATATTGAACTTAGAGAGCAGGACCCAATTTCTAGTGATGCTCTCAGTGGACTTCACTTTCTGTGGCCAACAGGACATCTATGTCACAATGCTGTGGTGAGGCTGTAAGCTGAGAGCAGCAGGGGAATGGGAGGGCAATGGTGTGGGACTATTGGGGGCAGGGGGGCAGAAAGGCCCTAGAAACAAATGGTCTGGGATCTAAAAGATACTTGGCACCACTTCAGAATTTGTTTTATCACAAAGCAGAAATGAAATGGTTAATTTAAAACTTCTCAATTTGACCTGAATTTTGCCAGTTGTATTTCTGAAATTCCAAGTATGAGTCCTAGGTACTGCAATCGAATGGGAATTGTAAGCATGGGTGGTTGAGCAGTTCCTTTGGGAGACACACTGGGATGCCACGAAGAAACAGGGAGCACGTGCCCGAAAAGCAGTGGGCTGCAGGAGGAGCCTGTGTGGTGTCTGACATTGTGGCATCTTCTGCAGAAATTCCACTCCGCAAACCTCCGTGTGCTTCTGTACCTCCACACCTGCCATGCCCATAGACGTGGCATGTTGATGCAAGAGATGTACATCGGATCAGATCTAATAGAACAACATTTTGGAGATGGTGCCAAGTACCACAACCACATGTGAGATTGGTACTAATGTCAAGCTGGGTGGTGCCTGGTGAGGAGCAGCTGACACTCTCACGCACTTCAAAATCTGCTTTGTGACTTTCTTCCCAGCAAAGGACAAGAGTGGTGCATATTTACTGCTATTGTAGCATTATTATTTTTTTTAGAATTATGAGAAATTCATAGAGCAAATTGCTCATTATCAAATAAGGGCTTGATGAAAAGCTGATACCCTCATTCCCTTCTGGGAGCATTTAGAATCAAGTCTATTTTCTTGGGTCCTGATTGTATCTCATTCTTTACAGAAGAGGTTAAAATCCAACTACTAGCAGCCGTAGGACTTGCTTTGTTGCGTATCTACATGAACAGATCTCAGTCTTCCAGACAGATATTTTGGTGCATTTTCTCCTAGCTCTTGGCCTTGTTATTTCTGGAATTTGAAAGTGTTTAAGAGAGCACAGAGATCTTTTCTATTCCTAATATATGAAATTCTGTATGTTTAAAACCAAATACCATGTTGTTCTACATTTCCATAATACCATTTGGTATAAGCAACATAGTTTCAGTTGTTCTTCACAGTATTCTTCAGAGGAAGAACCTAGCTGTGAAGGAGTCTGGGGCTTGTGGGATCACTGCAGCTTTGCACCTTGGATCTCAGTTCTTCAACCGAAAGACAGATCTTGCTGCACTCTGTCCAGCTCCATGGATACTACGATTTTACAGTCTCCTTTTGTGTGCCTTATACCTTCTAAGTTCAGGTGCTCCAGTCCTTCCATACATGGCAAGAAGCATAAATGCTTCTTATTACTAGGAATTTGGCATAAGGTAACTGCAAAGGGTTTATACAGATGTACGTACACACACATTTACATGTACAGCACAATTTTTGTCTTTTTTTTTAATTGTAGCAGTACAGAAGCACAGAGATGTCGTAGCACTGAGCTCTCGCAGGCCTCGTCTGTACTGCACCATAGCTTGTAAGAAGTTTTTGAAAAGCTGAAGTTCACAAAGCAGCTACAGTGCATGCTGCTGAACTGCTTTCCATTGTATCTCTTTGCATGTTTTTCTTATAAGTACACGCATTTAATATAGGTTTTTAAAAAGCGTTTTTAATGCACGCCTTTCACAAATCAAATGTATTCAGCAGGGCTGAAAAACTGATAAATAATATGAAGTTAAATTAGACTACAACTATATGCGTGTCCACGAGATGTACTCAGTTGTAGCGAACGAGCTGTAATGGATAACTGAAAAAAAACTGTTTATCTGCTTAAGAGCTTCAACAGTAATTCACATTTTAAAATGTGTTTGAGAGGGGTTTTTTTGCATGCAACACAGAACAGACAGTAGTGAGGTGTCATTACTTTTAACATAAAACTTATAGGAAATTAAAAGAGAGTTGCAGATATTGGTGCAGAAAAAGTAAATTAATGACAGCTTGACAGAGCTAATTTTTAGATAGATCCATGATTTGTTTTAGTGAATCTAAGCTTGGTGCTTAATGGTTTTTTTCCAGAGTTTTTCTATGACTTGCTGTATGCACATATAAATCAAGATTGACTTTTGGTCTGTGAGACTGTTTTGCTTGGCGTTCAACATGTAATACAATTGGATAATTATTGCAGTGTTCCTTGGTCGCAGAGGTCTCTTGCAGACCTTAATTTATGCAAATGTATCAGTCATTCCCATTCAGTGATTTAAAAGATTTTAATAGAATCAATCATTCAAACTATTACTTTCAAATACTTAAAGAGCGAAATATTAGTAATAAAAAAAACTTTTTTTTTTTTTTAATTTTAAATTTGGTGAGCTGCTGATATATTGTATTAACAGCTTTATTTCTCGAGCTAGTCAAATTATAATTTGCTGTCTGGTACCTACAAACTTTATTTCTTTTATAGTGTTTCATTTAATGGTCTCTCTTGTACTCTATAGGGTTTAGTTTGATGGAGGAAATAATTATAATTTTAACTGGTCTGTTCCATCGAGGTTTAAGTGGACTCTATTGTGCAGCTTTCTTTGTACATTACAATGCAATTTATAGTGATACAAAGTACATTAAAACACTTTACAGAGTTGAGGACAGCTACTGTCCTACAAACAGAAAGTGGAGGAAAGGCTGTGTGGAAATGGAGGAAAGAAAAAAGGAAACAGACTTGACATTTTAAAAGCCATAAAGAGGCAGGTGAGGGTCCTTGCAGACTGGTTATTGTAAGAGAAACATAGAAGATGCAGAAATGGAGGGGAAGGCAAGTAGGGTTTGTACCAGTACAATACATGCCATGGTATGTTATTTTAATTGCTGCACTCAGATGAACTGCAAACAATGTTGGTCACGGAGCAATAGATTTCCACGCCTTTTCCTCTTGTTGCCTTAAGCTTTAAGCTGCAATGAAAACGATGGTGACCACCTGGATAGAGACCAGCAATACCCCAGCAATCAAAAAACAAAGCGTATGAGGACATCATTCAAACACCACCAGTTGCGGACAATGAAGTCATACTTTGCTATTAACCACAATCCTGATGCCAAGGACTTGAAACAGCTAGCTCAGAAAACTGGCCTGACCAAAAGAGTTCTTCAGGTAAGAAGAGCAGTCTTTTGTCTTGAAAAGTAAATAAAATATCGATTTTATGTTTGGAATGCTGTGGATTTTGCTTATCTTCAAGCTTTTCATAGTCATTCATACCTCCTGGGAGAATTCAGTTTAACTCTGGAAAGTATGAGAAAAGTTGTTTAATTTCAGCTTCCCAAAAGCAGATCGCTTGTGTCTTAATTTTTAATGACAGTTGAGAAGCTTTGGAGTCTGCTTGTTTTCTTGAAGTTAGTTAATTCTGGTGCATGGTTTGACTTCTGATCTGCTGCAAGAAAAAGTAAATTCTTTCAGTTAATGTAAATAGGTTTTAATTTAGAAATTAATGCGAGCAGTTGTCTTTATAAGAAAGTAATCAGGCATTTGCATCTATTTTATCTGGACAGGGAAGATCTCTTTTCTGTCAAAATGCAAGAGGACATATTTAATTTTGCAAAGATACATTTTGTTTTGTCATAGTATAGAGCTTAGAATGAAAGAAGACTGTTTTGAAAGTACTTTATTAAGTAGGAGGGTGCATGCTCTGTTTGAGTTATTATGGGAAGGAAAGGTAAGAATATCAGTTGGCTCAGTTCCATTTTAATTTATAGTTCTGATTCAGTAAGTTAATTTTAATGAGCACTTATTCAATAACTGTAACTAGAGATAAATTTAGGCATATAGGAGTGTGATGCTCCAGGATCCAGAACTGAAATCTTTAAATTGATCTTAATAATAGAAAAATAAAGTTTGGGGGCCTCGTAGAGAAAGCTAGAGCTCAGAGATGGACTCCTGGGGAAGCACTGTGGATAGCTCTTGCACGCTCACAGCCAAATGGAGGGCAGTGGACAAAAATATAGAAAAACCTGGCTTTACTGGAGAGACTGTGGGTCTTACAGAGTTAATACCTAAAGGTTTGTAGGCTTCCTAATAAAAACTGCTAATAAAAGACTGTGTGTAATTCATTTTCTTGGCTAGATCCTCCAGAAATGGATTTTGTTTGTTTTTATGAAGCTGATTTGCGGTGGTGGAACGGATTCCTCCTTCATTACTGGTGCACGTCCTGGCACTTGTCATAGTGTCTCTTATAGCGGCTCTCCTTTATCCACGCATGTGGGGGAAAGGATTTTCAGCATTTGGCTATCATTATTTTGAAATTTCTTCATTTCATCATCAGTTTGCACACGTCAGTAATATCTGCTGTCTGTTACAGTGTATTCACACCTGAATTATCTCAGAAATTTCACGTAGTGTGTGAAGAAATCACTTCTGTGTCTGGAAAACACCTCTGTCTTGGTCATCTTTCTGTTTTCTTTCCTCAACCTGCACCACCATTTGACTTCCATCTCTCCTTTCATTTCACCTCATAGGTCTGTCCTTCCAACTCTTTTTTAAGACATTTTATCTGTTCTGCCCTTCTTATTTATATTTCCTCATCTCCGAAACTGAACTCCATGTGTCCATTCAGTCTCTATTTCAGTTTCTTGACTGCTTCTGTTTCCTTATGTTTCCATATTAAATACATTTCAACTTTCTGTTTTAAGGTGTGCTTTTTTTTTTTTTTTTTTTTTTTTTTTGTGCCAATCTCTGACAATTTCACTAACTTTTTTTTTTTTTATGGTTTTGGTAATTAGTGTTTCACTTCTTTTACTTCCACAATTAAATACTCCTTTATCTCTGGGTGCCTTTAGATGAAGAGAGTTGCAAGGTAATAGTTGGTGGTGAGGACTGCACACAGAGGATGATCTGTTGGAGGCACTTCAAGAAAATGACTCAGAGTTGATACCTTGTCTTGTATCGCTTGAGTTTTCCTGTCTGCTAGGAGCATTCTCTACTTTATATACTCTGTTGCTGTTTGCATTTGAAAATTAATTTGGGCCATGAAAAAAATATTTATAAAAAAATATTTTGGAATCTTTGAGCCCAGTTGGTTTATTTCTAACCTTTGAGAGTAAATAATATGGTCTTGTGAAGCTATGGAGGTAATTTTTCAAACACTGAAGTTTACCTGTACAAGTTTCAAAGTTGCTCCTTGCTGGGGAAAACTCTTCATGATGTTGGTTACTGAGATAGTGTCACTTGTTAATTCTTCTGTGCCAGAAAGGTTGGCATTCTATCTGTGTCATTTATTGAACACAAAGTAATTCACTGACACTATTGATCCAAACAAGCATCATTAGTATTAGTCTGTCTTACATATTAGAGGCTCCCAAATGTATGCGCACACATTCCAGTAGTGAGAAATTTTCTGTTTTCCCTGTGTTGTTTCTAGGTGTATCTGTAAGCTCCTTTATTTTCTGTGTGTTCGGATTTCAGTTCAGCAGATGAAGGACAATGACTTCATATACCATTAGAAGAATGTATTTTAATAGAAAGCATAAGGTAGCAGATGAAGTGAAAAACAAATTCTCTGGTTCTGAAACCAGTGGGATTTCTAAACACACATAGAGTTCCTCATGTTTTAGGAAATGGATGTAGAGCCTTAATGTAAAGGCAGTGCCATATAACATGTAATGAAGGTGGTTTATCTGTAAATCAGAATGGAGTTTGTCCATCTTCTTAATGATCTGCAATATTAGAACTTGGAAGACCTGACTTCTGTCTTGCCATTGTATACAATCAGTCATCAGCTAGCCAAATCCAGAAGCAGAATGGCAGGGAAATGTAACATACTGCTTCGAGAATGATGTTTCCTTCAATGGCCCTGTAATGCAGACTATTTTCCTAAAGTAACCACATTAGAATTACAGTAAGCCTATTTATACTTTTACTCTCTATTTGATTTATTTTGACTCTCACTTAGCCTCATGTTTGCAATTTAATGCAACTGCAGCTAGGGAGCACAAGGCATTGCTGTGAGCTATCATTCATAATTAAAGTGACCAGTTAATGGTAAGCCAAGTAAATGGCATAAATGTTACTCATTTGGAATTGATCTTTATTTTTGTGAGTTCAGAAAGTGAAGGTGGAAGTAGGTAGACGTAAGAACATAGGATTTGCTGGCCATAGCTATGTGTACCTCCTCTCTACCCAGGAGTCTGCAGTTACCCATGGCAGAAGCAGTTTAGGAACACGAACCATTGTTTTTCAGTGGTGTCCTGTACGCTGCTTATCCTTTTGGAATCACTCTCCAGTAACGTTGCTATGAAGACCTCCCGAAGGTTACTGCATACATTTGCACTTTGCTAACTTTCCAGTAGTCAACAGATATGAAAATTTTCTCAATCATGCATGAGTCCTGCACTCCTCTGTGGTGAAGGTTTGCTTTAGGTCAGCATACTGTAGACAACTTACTGAGACTTTGTTCCCATAATACCCTACAGTTCTCTCTCAATTGTGCACTTAATAATAGGGACAGAACAGTCAGAATGTGTGTGCAGTGACTGAACAGTCTGCTATGTGCTGGCACATCCTTTACACTTTTATTTGTACAACCAGCATGTAACAATTGCAACAATGGAGACATTACAAAATTATTTCAGACGATTATTTGGCTTCATTCAGAATTCTTTACAACACTTAGCATATTTATTATCAATACTTTCCTTTCTTATGGAGATAATATTTTATTCCCATTTTACAGTTGGAGAATGGAGACAAAGAGCTGAACTAGTTGTGCAGATCTCTGAAGCAGTAGCATAACATTTTAACTGCAGCACCACTCTGCCGCGTGCCCAGCGACAGGCATTCAGCTCTGCTCACCAGAATGTAGGAGCATCAATGGATCTCACAGCTGCTTTTATTTTTCACTGGGAGTTTTTAATCCATATTTTTCCCCTTTGATTTGAAATAGCTCAGCCCTATAATGATACAGTTGGACAGAAAAACACTACATACTTCTCAATGATTTTGTTTATTTTTTCAGTAGGCCAGATTCCTAATTGTGTAATTGATGTGAGTTAAGTCCTTCTGGAACAATTCTTTCAGTTATGTATGTTTGGATTATTATTTCTTTACTTCGATGTAATGCTGTTCCAGGTGCAGCACTGCTGCCATTCTGCACGGGGCAGCAGTCCTGCCTTGGCAGCTCCTACACGCTGCTTTGCACGGCTCTGAGTAACAGTGCAGAGCAGCAGAGAATCAGGACTGCATTCTTACACCTCAGAAAACAATAGTTCCAGTTCTTTCACTGCTCTTCAATGTGAAGCCTTTGCTAAATACTTCTGTATCTTAACATACTGGGATATCAGTTACAATAATTATTTTGTTATTCATTTCTACAACAAAACACACCATTGTCAGAATTTCAGCTAAGAAATATTTAGATGCCTTTTCAGAAATAATACAAATATTTATTAGACAAATTTAGAGAGCTCTGTAGTCATTAGCCGAAAAACCTTGACAATAACTCAGTGAGGAAGAAGGAGAAAGGGTCGTATTATCTATTTTTTTTTTTTATAATGCTTGCAAGAATATGAAATATTTTCTGTGCCTGATGTGAGCTAACACTATTAAAGAGAGGACGAACCACCTCACATACACAGCTCCTGAGAGCAGCATTAGTGGTTGAGAGGCATCTGAGCTCAGGTTTTCACATTTAGTGGAAGATAGAGGGGAATACAGAAGCACCAACCATCTTGCTCCTTTTCTTACTACGTTTCAAATAGGAATCAGAAATAATACCGTAGAGTTTTTTGCCCTGTGAAAGTTAAGGAGCAGCTGGACTGAACAAAATGCTGTTCTGCAATTTTGCATACTTTACACAAGAAAATTATCTGTGAGTAGGAATGGAAATTTTACTCATATTTGAGACTTTTACATATGTAAACAAGTATATTTTCAATGAACACATGTAAAATTTTGCAGAGGTATGTGTACACACAACTGAACTGGTGATTTTTTCTGATTTAATTATGATGTAACCATGGTATGTATCAACAGTGGCACTCTCTAAATTTAAATTTAAACTTCATACACATGATCCTTTTTGGAAAGGTATTTAAAAAAAATCAAAGCCAAATAAATTCATTTGTGGGGTAAATGTAAATGGTCTTTTATTGAAAGGTAAAACAATCCCCAAAGTGATAAAATTGCTGAATTCTACCATTCCTACTTGGTGATTGAGGCTTTACAGCTTGAATGACCAGAGCAAAGTAATTTGGTTCACCTGCACACCCTGCACAGGAGGTTGGCTCAGAGCCGTGCAGTGGCACTTCCACTTCACCTTCCTGCAGGGCTCTGAATGAGCAGCCATGTGAGAGGAATATGCTGGCTGAGAATGTTTCAGGCAAAAGTACTGCATTTATTGTTTTCATACCGCATCACTGGTCTTTAATAGCATCACTGCTATAACGGACTGTTTTAAAAAATAATACACATATTTTTGCCAGTGCTGATCTGGGAGAAAGTTTTTGTTTTCTTGATGTCTGTAAAACCATTATTTACTCTTTAAACTAAGTGTTTTAACAAAGGGAGCACCGTCATAAACTGCTTTGAAATACTAAACTTTCAGAAACAAGGACCTGTGGGGGTGTAAGTTATGAACGCAGCTCTCATGGCCAGCACTAGAACCAATGCCTGAGAATCATTTCCTTGTGGCACTGGTGGGAGAAAATACAAGAGAGAGTGCGTGCACTTACAGACCCTTGGCTGGGGGTGATGGCTTTCCTGAGTAAAAGCAGGAGTGCATAATAGGGGAAACTTGGGGCTGGACCATCCATAGATGAGAAGCAAACCAGTCAGAGGAAAAATGGTCTGAGACATCTTCATCAATTCTAACTGCAGCTGGCGAGATGAGAGGAGAAAGAGGAGATTTCACAGGACTGCAACTTTGTTGTGTATCACTCCTCTGCTAGCAGCCTAGCTTAAAGCAGATCTTGCAGCAGGAGCTGGACTGGCTCAGAGTTAGAAGTCAGAGTTTCTGTGTAGGATGTTGTGACAACATCACGGCCTCGTGAGCTCTGCACACTTATTTTTCCTGCATGAACCACGGGGGAGAAATCTGATAGAATAAGGCTGAGCAGGTACTTTGACTCCCTCAGTTCCTTTATTTGACAGACACAGAGATGATGAATTTAATTACACCTGGAATTGAAAGACTCGATCTTATTCCTTAAATTGGTCAATGTGAGAACAGTGGGATCAGCACTGAGCCAATTGTAAAGAAGGTGGCAGTGACAGAAGGCATCCTGATAAACAAGCACTGTGAAATTTCAGCTAGTTGCAGCAGTAGAATTGGATGGCATCGACAAGTTGAATATGGAGTATTTAATGACATTCTCAAATTTAATCCACGTAATATTCTGTTCCTAGATTTTGTGTGAGTTTCAGAAATAAATTTTATTATATCTATTTTCAAATAGGTCAGAAAAGTATTATATCTTTAAACAAATTCTGCATGGAGAGCATTATTAACTTTGACCTAAATGCTGCAATTTAATTGAAAAAGCTGAAGTCCTATTTTTGTCCTTTACATATACTTAGATAATAAATAATGCAGGAAGTAGAAATCTTGGAAACAATTTTGCTGTATATGGATATCACCTATTCTGAAATCACATTTTTTTAATGTAATGTGAGTATTTAATACCACTCAAGACACTTTTTCAATCATTATCCCAGGATGGAAGAATTTTAAATGAGCGTGGCATAGGAGCTGAAGCATTTGAGAAAGAAGAGTAAGAAAGAGAGGCAGAAAAAACGAGAGCACTGCTGAGGCTGAGGCGTGAGAAAGTTCCCAGGAGAGCTCCCAGAGTGCGGGCAGGCAGGGCACTGCAGGCCAGGTCACTGCTGCATGCCGGGGGAGGCAGACTTGAGATGTGAGGTGCTCAAACCCATTAGTTTGTATTCATCAGATGCTTGATTTCTGTCTCATCCTGAGAAGTTCTTCTGGGATTGAGAGAAGTTGAGCATTTGCAGGGGCCCCAAACCTATCAGCATCTTCACATGCAGCCTTAACACGACTCCCCTCCTCCCTCCTCAGCCCATTTCTGTCCCAAGCAGACTGTTAACACAGAAAACTGCAGAAGAGGGAAAGAGGAAGTCTTCATAGGCATCCAGAGGACACTTTTCGTGACTGAGGCTACTTTTCTTACATGTTACCATAAAAGCATCTTTCCCCATTCAAGCTTTGATGAATTTGTGAGTTTGCTTTTGCTTTTCTAAACACTGCAGCTCTTTAAATGCTACCCTGTTATATTAAACTATTTCAGGTTTGGTTTCAAAATGCTCGAGCCAAATTCAGACGGAACCTCTTACGTCAAGAAAACACAGGGGTGGATAAGACTTCAGATTCAACACTCCAAGCAGGGACCCCATCAGGTCCTGCATCAGAAATATCCAATGCCTCCATGAGTCCATCCAGCACTCCCACTACCTTAACGGACTTGACTAACCCTACTATGCCTACTGTGACATCTGTCTTGACGTCAGTGCCCGGAAGTCTTGAGGTTCATGAATCCCGAAGTCCTTCACAGACAACTCTTACAAATCTTTTCTGATGACTCTTAATAATTTCTTTAAAAAAGAAATTATCCTTAGTTGAAATTCCAAGTGTATTTTAATAGAGGCTTTGAGCAACTGACTAACCACCATTAGGATCTCTCCTAAGAAAACAGAAGGAAATGTAGTGTTCTGGTATTACGGAGTATGGACTGAAGAATAACTTGGAAGATCTATTGCAACACAACATTTGTGTAACTGTACAGTTTTGTGGACTGAGCAAGGGAAACAGCAATTAATTTAAGTTGGCTAAAGCTTCTGTATTTTCAAAGACTGCCATGTGCCTTATACACTGTTTTATCTACATACTTTGAATTCCATGTCCACTTCTCTCTTTTTCTCTCTGTATATTTATGACCAGGGCAAAAATGCTAAGAGTTTGTTACTTTGAATAGTCCTAAGTCTTTCATTGGTTGCTTTGTTGTTTTAGAAGTTTAAAGTCAAAGTCTGTTTGAATACCAGAATTTGTAAAATCTAACCAATAATAAAACCACTTATGGAAACTACTTCGTAATGGCTACAGTTACGTCTAACGTGAGCTTCACAGTCAAGATAGGCTGATTGTATTTAAAAGGATTAGAAAATTGCACTTCAAACATGATACCTGCCTAGAATAACTCCAATGTGATGTATACATTCCTCCTGTTCCTGAAGTATGTATGGGTGAGAAGTCTGCCTTGTGCAACAGTCTAGCTATTTTCAGTATAGAGAAATAAATGTTAGTTGCAGATAGAAATCATCAGATACCGTTAAAATTCAAACAGACAAAATATACTTAATTTTGTTGCGTGAAAAAAGCTTGACTGCAGCTGGCATTTATGAAAGCAGTCTTACTTTAGCACAAGAGATGGCTTCTCCCCTTTCATGGTGGAGGCAGGCGAGGTACTGCGGCCGTGCGGCCACCAGCGCTGTGCTACAGAGGTGGCATTAGGTCATACTTTCCCTAGGAAAAAGACAGAAGTATTTCAGGTAATTTTACAAAATTGGTGGGCAAAAATGAGGCAAAACTATGTTTTACAAAGTCACAGCCTTACATTTTTTGTAATGCTTTGAAGGAATAAAAAGCCAAGGAAGAATATTACATTATCAATACCAATAAATGTGATTATTCCTTTAGCTATTATGGACCTTTCAATGTGACTGAATTCATTCTCCAGGAGAAAAAAAAAAAAAAAAATGTGCAGAATATAACTGATATTTTGAGTTCTTTTTCCTATTGTTCTTAAAGATGCTTTTCTGTAATTAAAGAAATACCTCAGCAAAGTTTAAATATGTGTAAGGATGAGTATGCGCTCTGCTGTTTGCCCAGTAGCTGTATGGACCTGGAGTTGCACATCACATGCGTGTGGTCGTTCCTTTTCAAATCCGCCGCAGCCCGGCTGTGCCGTCGGTGTTACGTGGCTCTCCAGCACCACTCTGCCATTCCCACCGGATCACAATCGATAAAAGATTATTCCAAATAAACAGCAAGATAGGTGCCAGGATTTGTGTTCCCTGCCCTTTTCAGAGCACTGAAGATGATTTATTGGGCCAGGCCTTTTGGTAACAATGTTTTGGTTTTAAAGGCACTGTATTTATTCAGCTTTCTCAGCTGAAAATTTGCCATTCTTGTGCAAGCCACATTCCTTCCAAGCTTGGTGAGAGATCTCAGAGAGGGAGGACTGTGGGATAGAAGTGCTGACATAATCGGGTCATTTATTAACCTTTTTTCATGCTTTTGCTTAAAAAAATTCAGGTGAGTTATCTGAAAGGCAAGATAGTCCTAACATCACAACTAGCTTAGATCTGTGAAGGGAATTACGTTCTGCTCTCTAAAACTAACAGACTAGCACAGCCCTTTATGCTTGTGCACAATGATGGAACATTTTAAAAGCTAATTCAGGTTTAATTATTTGCCTTTACAGATTTGTCCAAGGCATTTTTTTTCTCATAACAGAAATGTCTAATGAGTAAATTGTACTGGTTATGAACTGTAAAACAGAACATATCTGCCTTTTGAAGATATTCAGGCACAGAGATTCTACTGTGTGTAATGCTTTGCTCATTGTCAACTACCTTGGAGATTCTTATTTTTATTTTTGACATGCTTAGCTGTTTCTTTTCTTGATTAAAAAGGCAATGTTGGTCCAGTGTTAAATGGATACAGCCCGTAATTAGAAATGCTGTGTGTTAACCTGTAAGAAGTTTTAAAAAACAGAATCCTGAATTTGTAAGTGCTACGGCCGATACAGCAGACAACAGTTCCAATGGTTCTTATTTGTGACCCTGTGTTTTAACTACCTGAATCCACACAGCTGGAAATACCTTTCAAAATAATTCTCAATATTGCCTTTTCAAACGATTGAAATTTATGAAGGGGAATCCTCTAGTGTTAATATTACCTGAAACCTATAGGAGACAATTAGATAAATTGTCCAGTTTAATCAAATCAGGGATTTTGCATATAAATAAGAGACAATATTCTATGTAGGGTCTTTATGTAGGTGCATTAGGATTCACTCACTGGCTCCAATGACCTATGTTGCCCCCATGATTGTTTCAATCCTGTGGTATTGTTTGGTTGTTTAGAGCTTGTTGGTTTTGAATGCTGTACATTTTTTTTACTACTGCAATCCTAATGTTTCTTCACATACTTGTACAGTTCCACATTTGATGTATTAGTCTGAAATTCTGTTAAAAACATGAACAAAAAATGGAAATGATATTTCTTTGAAAGTGTATTTTTACTGTATATCTAATTTGATCTAGTTGAACATACTTCTTTACATTTTGCATGATAGGTGTGTAGTTCATTTTTTAAATATGAAAGAGACTAAAGAGTAACTTAGAATGAGAATATAATGAAACCTATATATGAAAAATACATACAGTGATTTGCTACCTTTTGACTCAAGAAACTTTTTGAAATACATTTTATCTAGATTATTTAAGATAATGCAGATATTTTGTCTTTGAGTTCATACGCAATAAAGAGTAAAAAAGGAGAACACACATTAGAAAAAAATTTAAGTCACCTTGGTAGCTGGCAGCATACTGGGTTGTTCTTGTCAAGCAAAGGAAGAATATTTGATCTTAAGAATGCTGAATAGACATACTTTGATATACAGTACAGAGGGACGGTATCTCTGTAAGTGATATGTGATAACAGAATGAGAGAATGGTTTGGGTTGGAAAGGACCTTAAAGCTCATTTCGTTCCAACCCCCTTTCTCGGGCAGGGACACTTCCCTTCAGATCAGGGTGCCCAGGGCCCCATCCAGCCTGCCCTCGAACACCAACAGGGCTGAGCACCCACAGCTTCCTTGGGCAGCGATGCAGTTCAGAGTTACATTTCATAAAACTTGTTTCTTCACTCATATTGTCCAAATCTGGACAGAGCATGCTAAGGATCATCATATAAACGACACTGAATACTTGCTCTGGAAGCAAAAGTGAATTGATAGAAGGTACTATAGACTGTGAATGTGCCTCTAGAGTATTTTGTTTTCCAAACTGTAATTTCTTACTGTTACGAACACATTTAGAGCACTTTCTTATGACTCTTTGCTATTTTTTTCCCATTGAAATGTAAAGATTAAAATGTAGACAGCTGTAATAGTCACCTCATTTGATCAGAAAAATAAGAACAACAACAAAATAAAAAGAAAAAAACAGCGTTCAGAATTAGACATAATGGCAGCAAAGGCATCAGGTAACTAAGAGAAGTTCCAAGTGTACATGCTTATGGGCTTCAGAGTGACTTAATATTGCTTAGAAGGAGAGATTTTTATTGAATGTAGGTGAATTATAATGTATCCCTTCTGAATAAGGAGGTTTTAGCCATTTTCTGAATAAGGAGGTTTTAGCCATTTATATCATTCCTGGTAGCAATTATTTCATCCACAATGAATATGGAATTTTATTATTATTATTATTATTATTTCTTTTGGAAGTGTATTTAACACTTTGGAAGAGCTAATATAGTAAAATAATGACTGGCAAAATGATGGTCTGTGCATTTTCCAGACCACTTTGACTGGCATTTGAAAAAGCTACAGAGTGAAATACATGTGTGAGGGGCCCAATTCACATTAGCTGCCAGGGTTTGGTTGTGTGTGAAATGCTCATGCATCTACAATTTGGTGCATACAATTTATACAGTTGCCAGCTGTATGCATTTCTGCTTTCCAAGTTTTCAATATTACATCTCCTTTTCCAGACCTACCAGTCCTTTTAGTTTTGTTCTGCAAGTGAATTGTCTGGAACTCTGCTTACTCCCATACTTGAAATCATTATTCCCGAGTCTGCAGCACCTTTGTTTAAAACCTGCATGGAGCAAACCACGCCACTTGTCCATACACCCATACACTGCACTTCAGGCTGGCCAGTCACTGGTACCATGCTTCACTACCAGCACAGACAGCAGGGGTATTCATAGCACAGCCTGTCCTAATCCTAATTAAAGAGAAGCAGAAGAATTAGATTATTGGTCTACAATTAATAAACACGTGTTTTAAGAGTATCTTATGTCTGGCAAATCGCTTTAAAAAGGGAATAAAGAAAGCATCTTTCTGACACATAGGAAGCTGCTGTGGTTATGAAGACAAACAACAAAGCAGCCGGGCTGCAAGCGCTCGTGTTTTCACTTCCATAAATGGAGAGATGGTCTTTCATTCATTGCAGGATTTAGCTGAGATGCTTAAAATGATGTGAGTTCAGTCTGGAAAGCGAAGAATCAAGTTTGACTCTGTTGTGACATTAGGTGAGTTACCAGTAATTTGTCTGAAAATTACTGTCAGTGGGGAAAGGATGGCTGTCAGTAAATTCAAATCTAACAATATCATTTAGCATGCTGATGGATAACACTGTGCAAATTACACTTACTTCCTGGGAATGCCACTTCTGTGGAAACTCCTATTTTGTTAAAAAAATCTCTGTAAATGATATGGCTCTCTGCATATTTATACAGCTTGTTTACGTGGCATAGTATCAATTTATTAGACTGTAAAATCCAGCACTTAAAGTTTTTGCACCACCCTCCAGAGAAAAATAAGTAATTAAGCTTCTCATCAGAAAGAGAGACCTGTTCTAGACATTGCATAGTTTAGCCACGTACTTATGAAAAAAAAAGTAACAGCTAAAATAGGAAGAATGAAATATTTGGAAAGCATTATGCAGTTCTGTGGAGATCTGATTTAATCGATAAAAATCAGCAATGACTTTTTCCAGGTGCAGAGAGATTACTGGGAAATATTGTTAGGGAAGTCACAGTGAATCTGCAGCACAGTAAACAAAGAAATAACCATCTCTTTTTCTTGCATTGGCACAGAACTAACCAGGCTGTTATCCATGGACTGCATGGTAATTACTGTGTAGTCTAATGTTCCTTGGTTACTGTTTGAAAGCAGTGAGAAGACAGACATGTTTGGGTAACTGAGAATGTTCCTAGGATGGGATTTTGAATTTCCACAAACGTATTGGTCCAGTAAGGAATAATAATGATAAGAAGCTCTAATCCATGTATTATTTGTGTTGACCAAAACTTTTAAAACTACAGTTTGTTCCACCAGGCCCTGCACAGGGGCCAAACATCTCAGTTCTTCCTTCCTGATGTACAGCTCTGTCAGATGTTTTTGCTCTCCTTCATGTCTAAGGGAAAATTAAGTTCAAGAGGCATTTTATGTTCTGATCAGTTCTGATCTTGGTGTGTTTACAAGAAGATTCTGGCAGCTGTGGTTTATTCAGTTTGGCTGAATGCCTCTGACTCCTACAGCTGTGCCTCTGGAGCTACCCAGCGGCTCAGGCAGCTCACTTAGATCCACCTTAGCTTGTCACACCTTCAAAATATTGTTAGAACCAGGTTTTTACCTAACTAACATGACATCAGCTATGTGTTCCATCTGCTTAACCTCGGCACGTGGGAAGTGCAGATGTGAGATCATTGTGGACAGGTTTCAACTGAGTTTTCTGATTACAGCCTCTAGCATCCAGGAATTGCTTTTCCACCAGTAATTTCAATGCCTTCTCACATCATTTCCACATGCTTGATCCGTCACTTTTTGCTGTCCTTGTTCTGGAAATCAAGACTAACAAGCTACTCTGGAACATTGTTCTGCAGGTTGTGTTTGGGCAAGAAGCTGCTCAGGACAAGGATTCTGTGCATGCAGGGAAGAAGGATTTCTTGAGGCCAGACCTGTCACCTATAGTCAGACAGGAGAGAAAGCAGGCGGCATCGCTCAGACCATGTCCCTATAGGCATCTCATCTTTTGCTCCTGGAGGTTCTGAGGGTTTGTTAATGGTTGGATGACAGTTTTTTTGAGGCAGAAGGACTCCTTATTTCGCATGGCTTTAGCGTTTACTCTGGACAGGCAGTTTCAGATTTTCTGCTAGACCCGCTGAACATTCTGTACTGAGCTACAAACTTGTCAGTGGATTTAACCCAGCTGACCACAGACTTGCCTTTATTAGTGCACATGCACAGAGCCCTTAGAACTAGCTCAAAAGCTTTTATATCCATTTTTGTTAGTGTATGATCTGACTGGTTCTGGAGAGGCAGGCAGACAAGCGCAAGCTACCCATGGACTCAGGAGATAAGATGTTTCATACCCACGAGCCTGCGCTGCTCTTTGAAACAAGGCTCTTCCCCTCCAGCACTGTCTGCAGTGCTCACTTTCATCTGGGCAGACTTTGGAAGAGAAATCTTGGAACGGCCTGCTGCACTGGCCAGCTGCTGGGGCCTTTTGGAGCTTGTATTATGCTGAAAGAAATCAATTGCGAATGTTCCAACGATCTCTTTCATTCGATCCTAATTAATACAGACCTAGACTTTCTCCACCTCATATACACTTGACACTGGCTCCTAAAACATAACCCAACATACTAAATGATGGCAAAAGTTATGCTGCAGCCAGTATCATTCACGTTACAGAAATAGGCCGAACCACACACATCCCAAAAGCCTTTTGAATGTAATCCCCATTTGTGGCCTTCATTTATCTTTATGTCTTTTCCAGTTCTACTCCCATTGTGCCTACAGAATTCAGGGATCCATTTTAGATTAATACAAAAGCTGTACAATGCTCTTTTCTGTGGATCTTTACTCTTTGGCTCCCCAAGTGCAGGCTGTTCCCTGTCTTGTTTTGTGTGCATACTCTTTTTCTGCCTTTCTGTTTTGTCCCAGAGGTTACAGCCTGTGTGCACCCACACCCACTAGCACTGACAGGATTCTCTGGAGCCCCCCCACCTCCCCCGGCTGCTCCAGCACAAAAGAGAAGTCATAGAAAAGACATTTGCAGCTATTTGTAGAACTACTTTCTCTGCACACAACAGCTCCAGCTCCTGGAGATCTGTGTTTGGAATGTAAGGTGTGCTGCTGCCGCTTACATGCAGACACCATCATTACTTGCTGGCTTAGAAAAGACTGAAAGCCAGGCTGCTTTTACGGTTTACAAGATCTGCATATAAATATAATCCATTTTAATTCCACAATTATACTGGAGGTGATGCCAGGTGTTAAAAGGGAGAATGAGTTTCTGGCAGGACTCCAAACTTCTCTGTTCTCTCTGTTTCTATGGGTTGGAGCAGAGACCAATGCAGCACTCCTGCGTCCGGTTTCTACCACTGACGCGAGTTTAC